ATATTTCTTCAATTGGCTTTGTCTCCAACTTTTTGCTTTCCTGTGATTCCTATCTGCTGAGGTCTTCTCAGCCAGTTTCAGTCAGAAGAAACCTCGTGGAAAACTTCAGAGGGGCGTGGGTCTCGGTTGCCATGGAAAGTCAACTATGAGCTCTCTTCCTCCCTGAAGCATCTCTAGCCTGCCCTAGTCCTAACTGGCCACCAATAAGTACATCATTATCATACACACCTTGCATGATGAAACATATACCATATATATTATAGATCTAGACATAATTGTAGATGTAAATACAGTATCTTCTGAGCAGATGACTAATACATGGCTGAAGACACATTCAACTGTTGCACATTAGGGTTTTCTGCTGTTTCTTAGGCTGGTGGTGCTTCGAAATTTCCTACAGTGCAAGGAGAGTCCAACCCAACAAAATATTTGCCTCCAAGTGTCAATCACACTCATGTATGACTTGACCTCTTCCACTTTACCTCCTCTCATAAGGTGCCTGCTACAGGAGAATCTTGATAACTTTGTTGCCTGTGCTTGCCCCGTCACACTATGTACTCATGTATGTGTGCTTTAAAGACTTTAGCTCTGTTTTGCGTATTGTATTATACATTGCAATGTGATTTGAAATTTAAAGACATAAAGGCCCAACAATTTGCAGAAACCTGCTTTTTTTCTTCCTAAACTGACTTGTACATAGATGTATTCACTCAGCTAATATAATCACTAACTCGGTTATATCTTATTGTGTGCTGCTGTTTTCCTAAACCGTTTAATGTGCAGGATACAGTCAGACTCTCTTGGGATTTGAATGGTAAAAGAATAAATTCAAAGAAACTTTCTTCTGTGTCTTCTCTGTCTCCCGAGGGAGGGTGATTTGGGATCATCACTCACTCATTTATTTTTCTCATTCAATAGGATTTCTGAGTGATTAGCATATGTCAGGCAATGCTTTAAGTTCTGTGGTCATAGCTGGGAACAAAGCAGGCATGGTCTGGACACAAGTGTTTACACTTAATGTAGAGTAAAACCTACATTTTAAACGCAATTTTCAGGCATTATAAATGCTAAGAAAAGCATTACAAAGGATTAAGATATTGGAAGATGAGGGTGTTTAAGTAGAGGGGCTCTTATTTCAGATAAAGTACCTAGAGAATTTTCTCTGGCCTAGAACTTGACTCAGAAACTGGACTGGGGAAACAAGTGCTGGGTAATGTTTGCAGAGATGTCTGGAGAGGAATGTGTTCAACCTAGCTGACAGTGTGGTCGCTGAGATGTGCTGGGTGTGTTTTAAAAGCTATAAGGAGGGATCCTGAAGCAAGTGAGGAAGAAAGTGGAAAAAGCCCAGAAGAATTCAAGGGCTGGTAAACTTAGTAATCAGAAATCTTTCTTTTATGAATGAGATGGGAAGCCATTAAAACTGTGAGGAGTGAGTAGCCTGGTCTAATATGACCTATTATTGGGTCATTCTCACTGCCTGAAAAGGCAGCTTATAGATGAAGACAATGACAAGGGTGGTGTTATCTGAACTCAGGATGAGATGGCAGAGATGGAGAGAAGGGGCCACCTTTGTCACAAATATAAAAGCAGAGCCAGTGGATAAATTCATAGGGGGAGGGGGACCAAGGGCAACCCTGGAATTTCACCCTAAGCAGTGGACATAGTTGGAAGGATGTAGTTGCTACTTCTTAAGATGAAGCCATCTTCTGAGCAGCGAGATTAGGAAGGGACCCCAACAGATAAGTTTCAAGCATCTTAAAGTTAAGATGTTAGTTAAGGGTATTGACAGAGATGGTGAGAAGGTTGCTGAGGGCAAGATGTGCATCTGAATGGAGTCTCACTAACAAGGTAGCTGGTTCAGGATGTAAAATAGTATTTTGGAGTGCTCTAGATATAGATGGTTTTAAAGACTATGTATAAGTAGGTTTTTAACTCTTAAAAAAAGTATCAAGGGTGCATCTAAAAACCATAAAGTTCCAAGGACTTAAACTCTGAGACATTTAAAGGACGAAGACAAAAAAACAAATATATAAAACAAACACAAAAACAATGGGTAAGGGAGAAGAAAATCCAACATAGAATGGTAGGACTGTCAGGTATCCCAGAGGACTCAACTGTAGTGAATGAACATAAACCTCAATGAGATTTGTTTCAAAATAGTTGGGGAATATATTCTCATCCATATGTGGTTGCTTTCATTTCAGCATGGTAAGGTAGAGAATTTAATTTAATCCTTAAAATATTTTCCCAGGAGACTGAGTGGGAGTAAGAGTATAGTGGAATTAATAGAAGAAAGTGAGATTATAATAAGGTTTTGTAGATTCTATGATTCACAAAAAAAGACAAGAAGATATGGTAGGTCAGTGAATTGAAGAACTAAGGAATTATTGAACAGTTAATATCTTATCTTGGAACTTTTAATACAGAAGTACAACTCAAATTGTATCATTAGAGATTATTCACAGACTCTGCTGGAGTAGGAAATTAGTAAAGGATGGTAAATGTATAGATCACTGAAAAATAATAGAACAGTATAATAATCATGTATGAATTATCCTTTTTGGAAAATTTTATAAACTTTGTTATAAAAATACTTACAAATAAATTAAAACATCACATACCAAAATTAACAATACTTAAATTCTAAATAACTTAATCAACTCACATAGTTTTAACTGATACATGTGCATAAAGTATTTTATCTTTGTATTATTGCAGTGTCTATAATTACTTTCAAATTATAAGTTTATATTCTCAAATATATTATTGCCAGAGAAGGCAACTTTGTCAACATTTCAGAAACAGTCTAGAAAAATCTTTTTTTTTTTTTTTTTTGGTTTTTCGAGACAGGGTTTCTCTGTAGCTTTGGTGCCTGTCCTGGAGCTAGCTCTTGTAGACCAGGCTGGCCTCGAGCTCACAAAGATCCGCCCGCCTCTGCCTCCCGAGTACTGGGATTAAAGGTGTGCGCCACCACCGCCCAGCTTAGAAAAGTCTTAACGAATCAAATTATCATTAGCCTACTTCCTAGAATATTTCCAAAATTTACCTTTGGAAATATGTTTATAATAGTACATGTTTAGTAGATTATGGTTTTTTAAATAACTATTATCAATTCTCCTATCAAATGAACAATTTGATTTTCAAACAGGACCCACAAGTAGTTAGTGACATCACAGGAATGAAGATACAATGGATTGGGTAATTAGTTTCTAATGTAGTTCACTTCGAGATCTAGAACTTGACTGTTATCAGTAGTATACTGACGGGGCCTTTGTTACCTACTCAAATAGATTTCTATCCTTTCATTCTCAAGTTGAAGTTCCAAAACCCGTTTCTCTAGGTCCTTTCCTTCCTCCTGATCCTTCCCTGTTTTTATCCACAGTCCTATTCTCGACACTAATCTCTAGTAAAGGAAGCCACATGACTTCTGATTTCCTGCCTTGTTCTTGCTTCTCTTTTAAGCTTTTACATTCAACAAGTTACTGACATTGTCATGGCTCTCTTCTACTTTTCCTCATCTCCTGTGTTGTTTCCTCTTCTGCTTCTAGCCAAATTGGATTTCTTTTTATTAGTTTCTTGACCCTGATCTCAGTATCTATTGGAGTAACCAGATCTCTCATCAATGAATTTACACTGATCTGATAAGTGGAAGCACAGTAAATATAGTATATAGTATATATAGTATATATGTACATATGCATATGTTATCTCTCCTTATACTATCTTAATTTATATGCTCATTTTCATTCTGATTATTAAAGTGTTATGTTTCTTGAAAGATTTATGTAAGTTAAGAAGTAAATTAACATCTATAATAATACTGAGGCTGTTTCAATAAAATATGGAATGAATGAAAGAATGAATGAATGAGCTAAAATAGTGACTTTACTCAGCATCATAATTGGGTAAAATAAAAGATAAGACATTAATAAAATGAGTATTTATAGTTAAACGCAGTTTGCAGAATCCTAGTTCACTTTTATTTTAAATATCAACTGGGCAATCTCCCATGCTTTGGTTCCCACAGAAGTGCCCTTCCCAGTTTTAAGACAGTTGTTAAATATTTATTTATGCCAATAAAGGCATTGTCTTTACCGTTTATCCTTAAAGATTGAATTAGATTAAAGAAATTTCTTGTGTTGGTTGAGATGCAAGAGAGAAAAATCTAATAGCTCTCCATTCCCTACCAGCTCCCATCCTCTTCATGTCTCTATAGTTCCTACTGTAATCACTCCTACAGTCTCATGGTCATCTCTGACATTTCACAGAGAAAGGGAAGGTAAATCTGGGGTACAGTAGGTTTCTGATCTCTCTTTGATACTAGACATAGTAAGGAAATTTTAAGTGTTACCCATAGGAATAATCTCCCCATATTTTGCATTTTCTGTAACACATAATCTTGTGTGTTGGACCTGAAAGAGACAAGAAAGACATAGCCTCTTAACACTGGCGGAAAACAAAATCAAGAATTGTGTAGTTGCCTAAATCCTTATGAGCTTGCCATGACGTCTATAAAGCAAGCAAGCAAGCAAGGAAGAAAATAGCGAGACAAAAGAGCCATGGGAGTCAGCGGATCCACACACCTGCTGCTCATATGCCTCCCTCCCTCTTTTGAGGATTGCAAAGATGGGAGGAGAATGGGGAAAATGATGCAAAGTCAGGAAAGTTTTTCATGTACAAAATTAGACTTTTGCATCAGTTGAAACCGAGTTCTTCCTAAATTTTAAAAGGTGTGCACCTGCAAATGCTTCTGTTCATCTTGTCTGCCAAGAACTAACAATCTTTAGTGGTGTTTGTCCGACCTTTCTATCCTGCTTGAAACAACCACTTCTTTCACGCCAGTCACAACCACCTGTTGTTGCCATGTGTTCTGCTGGTTCCCATATATGTAATGTCCCCCCCACCATCTTTTCTCCATCCCGCATTTGACTCAAGCATGCAGTGTGCTATTTCTCTGCTGCTGTATACATTCTGTATACATTTCTGTTCTTCCTTGCAAGACTGTGAATGCTTCGGCCACTCCAATCGGTGCAGTTATATCGATCTGCTAAACACAGTCATTTGCGTGAGCTGTAAACACAACACTAGAGGGCAGCACTGTGAGTTATGCAGGCTGGGCTACTTCAGAAATGCTTCCGCACAGCTGGACGATGAGAATGTGTGCATAGGTCAGTTCCATTATGATTTCAGCTTTTGTTCTGTGCCTTTGGAGCTATGGGGATCTGGCTAGGGTTGAGAGGCTGGTGATCTGCAAATCGCTGACCAGAATGAATATCATCAACAGAGCAAGTATCCTTGTAGTAGACTGAAAATTCGCTTGCATTTGGATAAAGTCATACTTGGTGGGGGAGGGCGGTTAGAATTTGAATCCTAATATTGTTACATTAAAGATGATGTCATGAGAAATCATCTTTAGGAAATTAAGAATATTCAAATTTTCTTTCTCCATTCTTTTTTCTTTCTTCCTTTTGTCTTTTTTTTGCATGAAATCTTAATCACCTCAAATTGTACATTCAACCTTTAAAATGATAATTAATTATATTCAATATGAAGCTTTGTGATAGAGATTTGAGTATAATTGATGATCTACAACTATTGGTACATAAAAATGTTGCCATTAAGAATTGAAAGCTACTAGCAAGTTCTAATGTGGAAGTTTTCCTACCTTTTCCATCTACAGTAATGAAATTCCATTTATTGGATATTTCTATTGTTCCCCAAAGGACGAGAAATTTCTCAAAATTTCTCCAGGTTATATATTGTTAGATTATAAGATACATTAGCCCTAGAAAATAGGGTCCTGGGATGCGAGATCCCTCCTTCAAGACTAATTCTTCTCACCTGGAAAGGATCACGTGTCCCTTCCTTTCCGAAAAGCTTCTCCTACCTTCTCTGTTGAAGGACCTGACGCTAAGGAAGGGGGTCTGGAGGCAAGCTTTACTGGGAACATTTGTAATCTGTACAAGTGACCAGTGATTGTAAAAATGTCAGGATTTTTAAGGCAGGCCTTAGCTATATAGTGAATGGAGGCCAGCCTGCATTGCATGAGACCCTACCCCAAAAACAGTGGAGGAAGAAAGCCTGGGAGAAAAATAATAAATGGAATTTCATTCTATAGTGTCCTCTGAAAATGCAACTGTTTGAAGCGTGATGTTTGTTACTACACCAGCCGATATACAGACCGCCATTCTTAAAGACCAAGTTTCCAACAGAGACAAAGTTCAGTAGAGTTTGTAAATCGGAAGAGTAGTGCATACAAGTTGGAAACTGATGAGTAATCTTTTCATTAGAAAGGAAAAGAAACAGTTTTCCGGTTCAACTATATGTCTAGGATCCCTGTTTTCTGCCTGTGGTGTGACAATCACAGAGATTCTTGCCAAATATCATTCATGAGCTGTGTGATTATTGTGAGTTTATTTGGACCAAATATGCACAATACTGTTGATGTTTGCAGTATTTTCTATTTTTCAAAGTGCTTCCTTATTTGTTATCTGTGAATTAGTGGAGAAAGCACTGGAGTTAAATGCTGGAGAGCTGGGTTCAAGTCCCAACTTGCTATTCCCTAGCTGTGTGCCTTAGGTAAGTCCTTTCCCCCTCCTGGCTTGTTTGTAAGCAAGTGGACAGGAAAAACATTCGGCAAAGTATGCACTGACCTTCACCTTTAAAAAGTAAAAGAGAAACATTCTCATTAGCAAAAGGGTAGGGTAAGTATTATAAATAATAATTTTTCCCCTTTCACACTTGAAAATAAAAAAGACAGATTGACTGACCTTGCACACTCTTAACAAAGAGCTGAATCCATTCTGAACATTCCCCTCCTAAGCACTCTGGCACAGCTAGCACAGCTAAAGATGCCTAGATTTTCCCTCTAGTATGCTTCTTGTAAGACAGCAGCCCTCCCACTCGTATCTTATGAACAGGAGTTCAATTACCTTTCTAACACTTGGATTATTAAGACTTGGGGATATTAATAAAAGCCAAAGGATGCACAGCTGCCTGAATTTTGAGCACAGGAAATATTCTGCTGAATTCCCCTTGTGAAAATGCATAAATATCATGCTATAAATATAGGAAGAACAGAAAAGATAAAGTTAATAGGAACACCAGAATAAACCCTAACCCGTCTTTCTAAACACAAAATACATGAAATTAAAATGTTTCAACTTAAATATTTTAAATAAAGCAAAGCAAAAAAAGACCTTGCAGAGAAAGATTGAATATTTAATTTGTGAGGCCCTTCTATAGCAATTGAGAACTAATTTTAATGCTATTAGTACAGAAACAACTTATGAAATCAAATGGATATTTGCTCAAGTCATTCTCACTCACTGGGAACTAATCTCAGACACTTTGCATCATCTCTAAATTTACAAAAAAAAAAAAAAAGCTTTTCAAAAGATGCCTTGCAAATTCCTTAGCAGTTGGCAGTTATACGCACTATCCCTACGTTGAGGGAATATCTCACATCTCTGATCTACCCAAGGTCTATCAAGACGTCTTAACGTCATTTTGTACTATGGCAGATATGCAATGCAGTTGGCTAGTTCGTATTGCTATGGTGATTGCTGCATTGTAGTGACTGCTGTTGAATTCACCCAATTTTCATACAAATCCAAACACAGTCGTCCTATCAGGGATGCATGACATTTCCCCCAATGATGCAACAGTTACATGAAAATGACATCCGTGCATGCTTCTGCTTCCTCTAAACTTGAGCATGAAGTGGGAAGCTAGAGGACACATGGTTTCTGACCTTGGGTAATCACTGCTAATAATTCCCCTAATAAACTTTGCATCAAAAACACGGGGCTCAGCAGTTGCTACTAAACATATCTCAAAGTTAGGAGGCATTATTTTTAATTCTCCTTGAAACCCAGCATCAGGTAATCAAAGGTACCTTACACCGAACAAAAGGAAACTCAGATGATTTTAATGCCCACAAAGAAATTGTAGTGTAAAGCCATAATGCTTTAATTGAGCTGTACGAAGGATTTTATGCTGTTTTGCATTCTGACAGCCTGTATTTTCCTCATCAGTTCAGCCACCCTCACTCCCCATCTACCACTGAATAGAGCTTCATATGTCTGAAAAATTGAATTATTTGTGTGCAAGGTGAAAGAGGGAAAACCTTATGTCTCCTTGCCATTTATTTTCATGACTAAGATTTCATTTGCTATCTTTCTTATAGCAAACACTGGGACATACTGTGGTTTAGGTGCTGGGGGTGTAGTTTTAAACTTTGTTTAAAACCTATCTTACTGACCAAGGAGAACTAACTGCAACAGCATGTGATTCATGATGCCCAGATGTAATTCTTACTAACTGACTTAGAAAATAGCAGTGCCTCATCATCAATGGATACATTTTATCAAGTGAGAATTATTTCAGTGTAGCCCAAACTCAGTGAACACAAATGTACAAGCATGAAAAAACCAATTTAAAACTATTCCTAGACATAGGTTAGAATAGAAGATGCCACGTTAAAAGCCTGGTTATTAAATACAAATCAAGCCAAGAAAAGAAGAAATGTTTTGAAATTCTGTTTTTGTTCCCCCCACACTCACACACATTGCTAGTTTTATAAATGTTTGTTTCATGAGGATGTTTAGCTCAAAAACCTTACTTAATACAAAATAAATCATAATTTTAAGTACTGACTACACATTTGAACAAGTTTTCATTTGTCTCAATGACAAAGTTCGAACAAAAACCTCCTAGTCTCTTCATCATGATAACTCCAAAGTCTCATTGCCAATGACATAAACTCAGTTATAATTAAGCTGAACTCCACAGGGCTTCAGTCAGTGGGTTAGTTATATGATTTTATTTGAATTTTGAGCAAGAGAACATCATAAAGAATCTACTTAAAATAAAGAAAATTGAGAAACAGGAAGTCCTAGCAGCCCGGTCAAGGTATCACAGCATGGGAGCAAGGAAAGGAAGAGCGGTTCTGAAATTCCTTGCCACAAACCACCCTGAGTGCCTCCAGCTCGGGGAACGATAGGTTTCCCAGTTTCAACTTCAGCTTTGAACACTCTAGAGCTTCAGACATTAAAATGCCCTGCCAAGAGTCTGCGAGGTCTCAAGGAATCATTTTTTTATTATGCAAGAAAGTTACTTTGCCCTGCGAACAAAGTTGCAATGAAAAATATACATCTCAACGTTTGTCTTTGTTGAGATTTATCTGGGAGTATGAAATTTATTTGTCTTTCCTGGTTGTTCATCTACGATACATAAAAGCTATGTGGTCGTGCCCAGCAAATACCAGCTCTAAGGGCTCGTCTCAAAGTAGGCTATACATAAATAAGTTAAGGCACCATCCCAAATCGTGAAGCAAAACTACCTTTAAATGAGTAAAGTGCATCCATATTGCACTTGAAGATGCTCAGCCATTCTCAGATATTGAGTGTAGCAGATAAACCCATTTGAATAATTTAAAACAGATTTTACACTGATGGAATATTGATTTATCCTTGATATACACACTTCTCATGGCCTTCATTAAACCATCTAAAAAATGCCGTAACAAATGGAATCTCCATTATGATCGGTTACTGGTGAAAGCATGATGTCTTATTTCCTTGGAAGAGTTCAGATATTTTCCTCCCATATCATAAAAATGAGCCCATGGAAGGCTGAGCAAGTAAATAAATGGCCCTGACATAGGCATATTTGCCAAAGCATTTCATTAATGGACATCTTCCGCTAAGTAAGTGAATGCATCTAAGTAAATGAAGCTCCTGTGTTGATAACCTCTAAGCCATGAGAAGTGTCTCCAGCCTGTGTGTTGTCTTGTTTCTACAGAGTGTTATTGTAACCCTTTGGGCTCAGTCCATGATCGTTGTAATGGCTCAGGATTTTGTGAGTGTAAGACTGGAACGACAGGGCCTAAATGTGATGAGTGTCTGCCAGGAAATTCCTGGCACTACGGCTGTCAACGTAAGTAACTGTGGGAGCTGCCCTCTGCCTGCTGCAGCATGGCTGATTCTGCTTGTCTAGGCTGGTGTGTGCAGCATCTCAGAGCAGAAAAAGACCCAACCAGCTGATAAGCTCCAAAGGCTACTAAGAGCCCCAGCCTGCATGCAGGAGAGTGATCCATCAGCTGTCCACTGGCTTCCCCGAAGCTTGGCTTCATCTCCTCTGATGGCTAGCGCAACTTACATTGAAATATTGTATGGCAATGCATATACCTGGTCGGACCATAAATTAAGTGGCACAATAGGGAACCTGGCTTGGAATTCCTCACCACAAAATGAAGTGCGATGTGTATGTGGTTAATATATTTCCTGCACTGAAAGCTGCCGTGGAACTGCATAGTTCATAAATTCAACAATCTCTACATAACTTATAACCACCTGTACTATCATGCTCATCACTGAATCTTAACCTGGATCCTGACGGTAATCAGTCTTAGGCATATTGAAATAACACAGTAAAATAAATGAAAGTAAAATAAATAAAACCAAAATCAATATTGATTTTAAGACATCAGGGTTTGGTGCCGGAGAGTGAGTTCAGCCTCGTTCCTCTGGGGACTAGCAAGTCTTCTCAAAAGCTCGTTAAGCAGGTGGCATGCAGGTGGGTACATGCAATCGACATGCTCAAATCGGAGCAGAAGCTTCCGGCCCTCCTTGTAACTTTGTCTGCCTTTTAATTCTGTATTCACTTCCCTTTCCATGTCTGTAAACTTACAAATATGAAATGCCCACAAGCCATGTCCTCTGAAGCAGAGATAACTGATAAAAAATAGAGCAAACCACAGCGGTCATTTCAGTTGTATTGCCGTCACATCAAAAAATCAAAGATAAAGAGGTTTGGAGAATAGATTTCAAAAGCTGATTTTTATACATAGCCTTAAAGATGAAGGATGTCATCATGTGAACATGTAATTAGTATCAAAATTACTAAAGATATATATTCTAATTTTTGTGGTCTTTGGAAGTGGCTGGGTATTCTTTAGTTACAGAATATTTCAATCCATACCACCTGTCTGAAAGGACCTAAGGGCTCTGTGTCAACCCTACTGGACATCACAGGGATAATCCTGTGTACTTATTTCTCATTCGAATGAAATGGCACCATGAAAAAATTGTCTGGAGACAATTTCTACAAGAAGTAATGTTATTTCTACAACACAATCATTTTATTTTCTATATGAAATTAAAGATCATAAATACTATCACAATAGCTGCTGGCATAAGATTTTACTGTAACTATGTTCAGAAACTCATCTAATTTTCTATCTGCCACTCATGGAATTTCTAGGTTTCTGGCAGCTTATTTATATGTAACATGAAACGACATGCTATGAGAAGCTGGACCATGACAATAGGCAAAGGTATCTGGCATTGGACAGGTCAATATTAGAATGGGTATCAAGAGCTGGGCACTGAGAGGAACACTGAAGGACACTCAAATAGCCAGAAGTCAAGCATCATGATTGCAGAGTAACTCGAGATAAGCCTAAGAATTAAAAGTCCCGTCTGCTGTAATTTTCCTGAAAGCACTTGTCCTTAAAAGTGATTCCTAAAATGACATAAAGAAGCAGGACTCAGAAGGCAGGCCATCAGTCCTCAAAGAGCTGGACATGAGACCCAGAGCTGGCCCTCAGTCAAAAGCATCAAAGGAGAAAGAGATGCCAAGGTAGAAACAGGTACCAAGATTCAACATAAAAAGAATAGAGATATTGTAGTTGAGAGAAACTCCTCAGAGAGAAAGTTTAATGGGAAATGCTTCTGTTTATGTTTGTTTGAGACAGGACCTCGTTATGTAGCCCAGACTGATCTTGAACTCATGATGCTCGTGCCTCAACTTCCTGAATACAGGTTTTAGAAACCTGCACTACTATTTCTGTTTCCTAATGTAAAGTGAGGAAGAAAGGAAGGAAGGAAGGAAGGAAGGAAGGGAGGGAGGGAGGGAGGGAAGGAGGAAGGAAGGAAGGAAGGAAGGAAGGAAGGAAGGAAGGAAGGAAGGAAGGAAGGAAG